ATGATGATGATGATGATGATGATGATAATAATAATAATAATGATGATGATGATAATAATAAGATTGCGATGTTCATGTCCTGTACCTTTCTTTTTCAATCATAATCTTGCAAAAAGAGACACTTGCTACAGTTTATATACTGTAAACTTATATTTCCATGTACTAGTTTTTGCTTTTTTTTGTTTTGCACAGTCTTCGAAGAAGCGTTCTCTATGTTTGAGACGAATGGTTTTGGTGTGATTCATTATAAACACGTTTTCCCGCTACTCCGAGATTTGGCCTACAACGTTCACAAAGAAGAGGCTTGGTACTACATGAATAAATTGGAATTATCAGGTTTGTAACGTGATCGCTGTAAGAAAATACAAAAGTTATACTGTCTATTGATAACGTTTCTACAACCCTGGGATTTACTAGTCTATTTCTATATCTCAAGGAAATGAACTAACTGTAATGCACGTTCATTTAAATGATAAAACAATGCTGATATTAAAACAATTGACGTCACACATGTAAGATATCATTCGTTCTTCAAATTTTAGTACGTTTCCATCAAAATTAGATGATGTGAGGAGTTAATTTCACATCACTACCTTATCCAGGAGCTTCATTTTTGATGCCGTTTCAGAGAAGCGAATGATAACCCTGAGTGAGGTGATAAAGTTACTGGAGGAAGTCGCTGCAGAGCGGAAGGAATTGAATGAAGTGCCTTCTGTTTACAACGTGTTCGACCCGGATCAGAAGGGCCGCGTGGCTCTCTATGAAATACACGATGCTCTGAGCTTAATGTACGGGCAAAAAATAACCGAGGATGAGGTTTCAAGAATACTGAGTATTGCAGACGAAGAGAATACCGGTTTTTGTAGAGAACAAGGTACGTTGAAAAAAAATTAGTAAGTTTCTTTTGGAAAAATGTTAAAGTTGACAATATTGGAGAAATAGAAAAGAAATTGGGAAATTTAATGGCTGGTGTTATGAATTTTTTTTTTTGATTGTTCGAGTAGAATCAGCAACTTTCAAATCCCTGGTACGTACAATCAATTTGCCCTCAAGGTCTTAGTCACCACGTCACAAATCCACCAAAGATTTTCTTGTTACGCTGTATCCAAGAGCTATATAGCTACTAATCGCAGGGTCCTATCTCTTTTCACTTAGTTAGTTTTGTGCTTGACGTAAACATATCTTTTCTCGCCTTTTTTGTACGTTCAAGTTTTCACTACGAAAAGATGTTTCTAAATATCTTTTTCACGCTGTTATGAACAAACTATCACTGGACTTCATCTCAGCTAAATTTTCCGATAAGCATATTCATTTCTCTTTCCACATACAGATTTTGAGAGGCTTCTTCTACCCTCACTAAAACTTTATTAGAATCGTAGAGGATTTCTAAAAGAAGAAGAAGAAGAAGAAGTTGGTCGAACCATTCTTCCGCAGACGCAAACTTAAGACTGACATGACACTGGGGATTAATTCCCCGCGTAGGATTGTTCTTACCGCGAAGAAAGAATACACTGCAGATGTTGTTAACTAGGCTACGATGGACCAGTGAGGAAATATTGTACTGTAACAGCTTCCTTCCGTTGAAAAAAAAACAGCTTTCATGAGGTCTACATCCTTAACTTTATTAAAAGTCGACAAGCACAAAACAAAAAAAAAGAATGCATCAATTTCCCTGAGCCATACCGATTTATCTTAGTTTGCATCTTAACATTTTTACTATTTTGAAAGATAACCTTTCAATGAAAAAAAGTGAATGATATTTGGACTCATCATTCGCCTAAGTAATACTGAATTTCAGTAATTAAACTGAGAAAAAATTACATCATAAAAAATTAACACTTGGCTCATAATATCAATTGCATTCTTTTATAATATTTTAATTTCCTCTTGTAGCCTCGTTCCTGAAATCTCCTCTTCTGCTTTTTTAGAGCACTACCGTTTACGCTGCTTTTTAGTCTAAATTGGACTTAATAAAATTCACGAGTAGATATTTGTTATCTAATCTTACTGATTTTGCCGAATATATGCATTTACTATAGAGTTACCAGCAATGCTTATTAGAATGTATAACGAGTACATAATTTTCATAAGACAAATAACGTATGAGGCCTCAGACCACAGAGATATAATCTATATTAGTCCAATTTGAGGCAGAAATTATATTATATGAAGTTTTGTTAGCACGGACATGCAAATACTGTTCCAGGGGATGCTGTCTCATTAATTTAAATTGTTTCAAATTTCGCTAGTACATTGTTGGAATAAAAGATAACAATTTTTGTAATTTAACTCTTAATGAAGTTCAGATCGAAGAAATTGTACGCGAATTATTCGATTTATAACTAGTCTAGAATATCTGGGTTTTGAATGGTCATTTTTGCGAGTTTTCTTCGGAACAGATGTCAATAATTTTTCTTCTGTTCATATTTATTCCCACACTTAGATTCTTTGATTCGATCCACATAGGGTGGAATTTGAAGAGAAATTACTCGCAATCTAACAAAAAATTATCTCTTTAATTCACCATTGTTTTTAATCCTAATACCTTTATTTATTACCTTTGGCGATAAGAATTACGGTAATATTAAAGTAAAAAATTTCAAAATTCAAGAATATAAATTAAAAAGATTCAAAACACAACAGATATATACTCTATTAAGTTATGTCCAATTAAGTTAAGTTTAGCACCTCTAGCAATAAACGATTGTGTGTGCCTAAGAGTGCGTGATGCAGGTATTCTGATGTGCGCTGGGTTCGTCTTACAAGATTTTAGGTTATGGCCATGATCCACAGCCTTGTCTAAAAAAGGTTTACATGGATGCCCTTCAGATTCTAGGATACATATCAATTCTTTCCTCGTCAATTTCTGAGGCCTAGTTACAAGTGACTCTACAGTATCTCATGACATTTAGACATCTATTCTGCACTCTCTGTAGATGTTCTTCGAGGTAGATGGGCAGCCCACCCCAGACAGGCGAGGAAAATTATAACAAAGGTCTGATCTTAATGATACATTTTGCAGTTGATAGGCCCGATATTAATAGGGGGTGGAATTGGACAGGACTTCTTGAAGTTGATCCACATATCTTTGGTCTTCTTAGCAGTTAGCTCCATTTTATTCTGCACAACCAAACTCTCCAAGTAAGTCACAGCATTCTGCATTTGACTGTCAGAGTCCTTAGAGACAAGTTCATATAGGGTGCAGCCATCAGCGTACTTGCAAGTGGATACAGGTATTCCCCTGGGGATGCGGTCTTCAATATCGTTGACATGTACGTTAAAAAGTGTAGGAGAAGGGAAACCGCCCTGGGGCACACCAGTAATGACCTCACCATGTCTGGAAAGGACTCCCGGGAGCTTAACCTATTTTTTTCATCCTGATAGGTGGTTTTGTGTCCATTTCCATAAGCTCTTGGTGACACCCATACTGCCGAATTTAGTCAACAGAACACCGTGATCTACTAGATCGAAGACTTTTCGGAAGTCTGCAAAGACCACATGCACGCCATTTTATGGAGTTCCGGAATCTGTAGCGTTGTACCAGTCTTCTGTGATGCTGGCAAGCGCAGTTAAGGTGGTTAAAGTCTCCGGTAATTATGATACCCGCCGATGGTCTCTCTATCAGCAAGTTGTCCAAACGCTCAGTGATGTAGTCGATCAATTCTCTCTCCTCAGTACACGTATTCCCTGGCGGAAAGTATAAAACAGCCATAACTATACAACTGAAAGGTCTTGGAATCCGAGGTGGCGTGTAAAGTAACCCCAACACCTCTCTTTCGCTGACTTTGAGATTCTCTGGGCGTATACTTGGAATAGAGCTGTGAACATAAGCCAGGACACGGCCGCCTGGTGTAGATCTGTCTTTATAAAACACATTGAAAGACTGGCCAATGCTGATAGCAGTTGATGGTACACCGTCTGCCAAACAGACTCAGTTACAATGGTCACGGTTGCATTACTCGTTTCGACGACTCAGTGCAGCTCGTCAACTTTATTTGTGATATGGCAGGCACTAGTTATTAAGTACCTTGGAGGTTATGCTGGTCCTTGGAGGGATGTTTATACAGTTCGTCGCTAAATGCCCGGCTCCGTATTTTGCTAATTGTGCACGCCGATGAGTAATTATGACCGTGTGAATACGCTGCGGAGATAACAAGGAAACTCGTTGTTTTACTTTAATCCCGGCTCGGAATCCTCTCGGAGCCCTAAGGATATCGATGGACTCCAAAGTATTGTATTAAGTTGGTTCAATACGAGGGTACCCACTGGGTCTTAGCGACGCGAGGAAACCAGCCGAGTAGGTACGCTTCGTCAGGACAGCCATCTTGGAAGTTAAGTCACAAGATCTGCATTCAAGCTGTCACAAGCGTCGTGGCGAGGAAAAGAGAGAGAAATCGTGATGAAGACTTCATTGAAAGATTTAGCGATTTAGAACTGCGACTGGGGAGAAACACAGCGCTTGTGAGTAGCAAAAATAAAGATAATTCAGCACCTTGAAAATAAACGTGCAGCCAAATCCGGCGCGGTTACAAAAATGGATGTATTTTTGTGTTTCTCGATGTATTACCTGAAATCGATTTTGTTTGCTTAAAGAAAGGTATGATCCATCTTCTGATATTTGTCAAAGTTTAACGGAAAACACTGCCCAAAGCAAGCAAATGAGACTGAATGCGTTTGTGTTTTACCAATTTGATTCTACTTTGAAGTTTACCGCCTTGTCACTTAACATGAATATTTCTCCGGCTGAAGTACTTGTTTATTGTATACGTCCCCCACGTCAGAGGTTCTTAGCCAATCAAATTTTACACAGCACCATCTGCTAGTCAAACTTAAAAATGGACTCTAGTAACGACGTTATTTCAAAAGACATACTCTATCCCTCTAAGGACCAAGTAAAGTAAATAGAAACTCATATAATATGACTAGCGCGTTTGAAATAAATCTACTTCACCCATTAAATTTTCGCGTAAGAAAAGTTAAAAAGCAATTTTCAGATTCGAACTAATTTTTTGCCAGTCTTGCGTGTGTTAGAAACTCGCGGAAATAATGAGAGGATGTTTAATTTTGGTGATACTTCATTTGGAAGTGACGATAGTTTTATTCATACGGAAAAACAATTTTAATGAACTTAACGAGATACACCTGGACAAATGCTCATTTGGTTCGCTGGACGACGGCCATTGTTTAACCTTAGATGTGGCTTCGAGGACCGTAACATTCCCGTCAACAGATTAATGGAAAATAGCTCGACAGATCGCAAGTTAGTTCTACAATAGAATTTTGTAGCCTTTGGTAAATCCAGCAAGGTCCTGCCTCGAGTGCCTTTCTCAAGCGTGCAACAGTGGAAAAAAACACCCCTAACCGTTGTCGGCATTAAAGATTTTGAGAAAATCATTTCAAAGGTAAACTGATGTATCATACTCATTAAAATAAATTGCACGTAGCCAGGATATTATGCTCGGACGTTTTCCCAACTGAGAAATGTCGAGATCAGTACATGAATAATTGTCCATGATATTCCACCGGAAAAACATAATGCATTTTAAACTGCTCTTCTTCGAAATAATACTTGGATGCAGTAGAAAATTTCTATTTTTTACCGTTTTCTTCTCTATACAGGTACAAAAAGCTTAACCCAGTCCAGTACATTAATAGATAAGCGTATTTTATGGAAAAAAAAGACAAAATAGAATGCAGTTTACTGGCTTAACATCCACCTTGAAATAGCATTTCTATTTCTTGTTTGTTTCTCTTATCTTTTATTTTTTATAAAATTAAAATCAATATCGCTTTATTTCAAAACGAAATAATCATTTTTTTTTATTTGTACGAGACATAACTTTAGGCATATTTGAATAGAGTCTGATAGTTTCTAAAGAAACTGTTTGGGCTGCGTCGGTAGGGGTAAGGAAATGATAATTTCATATTTAACTGGCTGCAGTCAGAAGCCGCCCAACTGCAAATTTAAAATTGTATAAATTTCTTTTGGCAGGACACCGTTTTAATGAGTTTCTTGTCAGTCAGAACAGTTTATCTGGATTCTAAATGGTGTTTAAAAGACAAAACAACTCAACCGCAAGAAATTGCAGATGGAGCGGTCAATTTTAGCCCGAAAGATGCCCAGACTAAAGCAAATGACGGCAAGGAAAACAAGCAAGAAAAGAAATTTTATACATGTAAACCAGTGACAGGTAGCAATGACTGGCGATATCCGAGAAAGGAAAAAAGTAAGGGAAATTCTGTAATTATCTCGCCAGTATTAACGAACTCTTCTACCTTGATTAAGATGAGAAAGGGAGATGGAAAGACCGGGACAATCAAGACAGAATTATCAACCATACAGCGTTCAAGTTCGACGCTGGGTTGTTCTTACGAGAGGGCGAAAATAACTAAACAAAGGTTTCGACTTCCTTGCATTCCCGATGTACAAGCATTGTCAATCAATGCCAAGCACCCAATTAAAGCGCTTTTCGTAGAAGGGAAAAAGCTTGGATCGAGAAGCAGAATGGGTTCTTCGGCAGGGTCAAATGATAAAAATCAAGATTTCCCGAAAACTTACTCAAAAAGAATCATGAACAACAATACTGATAGTCTTGCAAGGAAACCTATTCCCGATATTGTTATCGAAGGCAAGAAAGATCGTCACCATGCAGACTGGTACGATGATGCACCGCCAGCAATAAAGAAAGCTGATTTTCTCGTCAAGTCAACCTATACCTCCTCGAGCAAGATATTTAACACTTCCTTACAATCGAGGTTTGGTAAAAGCGTTTACAAAGGTAGACTCAGAAAAACTGGCGTCGGCGGTGACAAAACCTTTCAAGTTTATTGGGCGCCAGTATTAATAAAGAGAAAAGTTTTAAATTATCGTACTACTCCCGCGAATTGTTATCAAGAAAACCGCGGTGACGCAATTTCTGTGGAGGAGGTCAGACGTCGGAACCAAGGAGAGAAAAATTGTAATCGAGAGTAGTATGTACAATACAGTTGGCGGGAGTCTGCAGAGCGAACAAACGAAAGGACCAGTGCTAGCGTAATTCAGGAGAGCCGAGCAATGAGTGTAGTTCAAAAGCGAATCTTGACACATTGTGTAATGAATTGTACTCGTAAAATCCAATCCAAAATTCAGCGCATTTTCAGAAACTATTCACTCAGACCTTTAGTGGTCAATTGGGCAAATACACTAATAGGCAAAAAAGTATTAATCAATCAATTTACCGTCATATTTGCATAACCACTTTAATTATCTATGATTTATCTGGTCTAACTTGCTATCTTATGATCTACTAATGTAGTATTATTTTCCGGCGAGAATCTTAGGAAATTCCAAGTAGTTTAAAGGAACTAATTTTGAATTGACACAAAAGAGAAACTTTTGGCTCTCTGAATTGCTCTTGTCTCGTTAGAGTATGTTCAAGGACTTCTTAGGGCTTTTTTCTCGACTTTTGCGTTGGAGGATTTTTCTCCATCTGATGATCGATAATATGGTTAACAAATCCAAATTACATATTAACTAAGTTTTCCTGTTTGTATCGATGGTCAACACTAAGCTTACATTTTAACAAATATACATTAATGTATCAGCGTGATGTGTAAAATGAATTACCACAAATTTAAACGATATTCTAACGACAATTAGTGTCTGAGCGTTGAAAGTTTTTTCGTTCTCCTGTCGATAAGTTTTATTCAATAGGTCGAGCGAGTGGCACAAGTTTTATGACAAACCACCAAGGGTAGTGTTCCAAGATCGGTACAATCCTGAATTGCCGTAGACACTCAGCTTCAAATTGCTTCGACACTCGACTTCAAATTACTTCGATACTCAACTTCAAATTGCTTCGACACTCAACTTCAAATTCATCCACTGTTAATTAACTTCCTAAATTGTCGAATTGCAATCCCTTTTTGGGGCTATCTAAAGGCACAAAGCTTATCAACTGCAAATTAGTTATCTCTAAGGTCTTCAGTGATTTGGAGGGATGTATCGAAGTATTTACCCGATTTCTAGACCACTGCTCGCACGAGCATACAATTTTTTTCATATTTCTTCTAAATATCCGACTTTGTGCGGCATAAACAAAGGGATTTACACATGAATTTACTAATATCAAAACAAGAAGAACCTCATTTATCGTGTACATGACTTCTGCCTCTAATGCAAAGTACCATACAACATAAAGAATCAGATTTGGAATATAGCAAACTCCGTAAATTGCTGTTATTATCAAAAGCATCTTAGTGACTTTCTGTCTTGATTTCGTAACGGCCAATGATCCATGTTGTCTCGGTACTGCCTCTCGTCTTAAATGCAGTATAACCTTTCCGTAGAAAAAAGCCATAAAACAGAACGGTGCTATTCCAATAAAGAATAACCAGGCAATATTGTAACTTATTGCAAATGTTACATTTCCCCAATGGCTTTCGCAATGTCCACGCTGTTGGTTGAGGCCTCTGACGTAAAATAGTGGGATGTTGAAGATGACGGAAAGAAACCAGCCGAGGCCTATTAAAATCTTTAGTTTTTTGTGGCTTAGCTTTGATGTTGTTCCAAGTGGGAAAGTAATGGCTGCGTATCGCTCGTACGCCAAAACCAACATCGTCATCGCTAAAGACACCGCTCCAACCCAGGTAAATGTATCAGAAGTGATTATTTTACATAAGATGATCCCTTGCAAACCTCGAGGATGATGGTATAATCCCTCAAGGATATGTCTTAGGGTGAAGGATGTTACGATCATCAAATCACTTATGGCAAGATTCAGTAGCAGATAATTCACCGGTGTTCTTAAAATCCTGTTTTTCACGATGGTAAGACAAACCAAAAGATTTCCCAGCAAGGCTGTCAACACTAACAAGGAATGGATAACTTTGGTGATGATCTCCATGTTTCTTTCTTTTTTTTTTTTGTAATATGCTGCTTGATCTTGAACGTTCTAGAGTAGATTGCAGATACATGCACGCTGTTTAAAATTTGAAGGCATCAACCAAACGAACACTAATGATAACAAACTCTGACTGACAGACTGGAATACCAGCTCCAAAGCTCCTGTTCACGTTTGATTTGGATTTAAAAATATTTAGTAGTTGTACTTGTCTGAGAAAATAATGTCCGTTGAAAAAAGAAATATATTTTTGCTAGTTACGAAAAGCTATCCGGCAACGATAAATTTGAATTCCTTAGGTTTTGTCTTTCCATCGTTCCGCGTATGACAAAATTCGCAGGGCTGGACACGTTTAGTCAAGTTCGAGACAACGTGCGACCATTCAATAGCTTGTGACAAATTAAGAAATGTCTCTATTTTATCCTGGTGTTATCTTCCCATTATATAATTTAGTAACATAGCCTTAGAAACTTCTGCAAGTCGGAAATTTTAAAGTATGAATATTCTGACAACTAAAGAGCTTCTAATTAGGAGACTGAGAATGCTTCATTGGTTCTCACCTTGCTCGTAGTTTTTCTTAGTTTGTGTCCCACGAAATATTCATTTATACTTCATACTTATCTTTGAGACTATAGTTTGCAATAATGCCAACCAGCCCGCTTCACAAGTCCAAATCGTCCTTCATCAAGTGATACCTATGTAAAACGAAAAAATTATACTTAACTGAACGTTTAAAGTCAGCTTTTAAGGCAAGTCCTTCTATTGTTTGCGCCAATCTGCCCACCTGTCATTGTGAATATTCATGTTGTGCATTAGCATAGGGGCTAAAAAAGAATTTTATTTATTTTAAAAAGGGGGGTAACTATATTAATTAACGAATCAAAAGAAGCAAAAGCGGGGAAACATTTGGTTTTGTCCACCGAATCTTTCGCCTCCTCGAAGTTTGGTTCCCATAAAGGTACGTCACGGCAGATATACCTGATTGGACGGAGTGAAATGCTAAGAAATATGAATATTAAATATCAATGAAAAATCATTGCATTTATTAAAAGAAAAGATTGAAATCTTGCAAGAATTTTCGTTAAGTGTGTTTTTAGACTTATTCAATTGTTAAGAAAAAAAAAAAGAATGGAAATGTAATATTACTTTGGGCCATTCGTTGCAAAAATTGTAGTAAGCAGGTTGATTATTTCTTATTCCTTTTTGGCGGTCTCATCTCAGTACAGTTTATTTTACCTTTTTCTTATTATTGTTGTGAATTTGGCATGGAAGTAGAAGTTCAGTTTCTACGGTGATTAGAACTTGTTGTAGTATATTTCGGGCAAGCTATGTTTTTAATTATGTCAATCTGCTAGTTAAGGGAGAGAGTAAATCTCTGTGTTAAAAGTTAGCCTTGTACAGGAATTCCTGGAAATTCCTGCTTCATATGCTTTTGATTATTCTCAGACTGGTTTTTTTTTTCCCACAAATTCTGTGTCAAATTAAGGATAAAGGAATACTTCTTAAATTTCAATTTAACATCTTTAACACCTCTTTCTTTAAGGTGACCCTAAGTGTAAACAACTTTTGCCTTTTCATTTTTCGCACTTAATTTTGAATTAGATAGCCTGGGTGGGACTACGTAGGCATCTCTGGAGGCGATACTCGTGAATGCCCCTTCTATGAATTTTCAGATTATTTTGTTGTTATGTAACAATCTTCTCAGGCTATTTTCTCTTGAGATATCTTTTCAAGTATAATTCTAATTCTGTCAATAGGTTAATTATAATTTTTATATCATCAATCTTGTTTCTGTTCTGGACGATCTCAACCATGAAAGTATGAAATTTAAGGCAATAAATTGATATTTTAATTGCGTAAACAACCCGAAGGCGCATACTTAGTATGCAGGAACTGTCCTAGGTAACTTAACCTGATTCGCTGGTTGATCATGAGATAGAACGATGACGATGCACGAAGATTGGTAGCTTAGTGGTATCACCTTTAGTGTCGCCTTTATAAGCTAGTGCACAGCATTTCCAATTAGATCAAAAAGAAATTGTAGTGTAAAGAGTAGGGTAAAAAACTGAGCAAGTCCCAAGAAAAAGAAAAAGTGTATTACGAGTCGAAACCGAGAAATAAGAAAAATACTACTTAGGTGTTGGAAAAAAAAAACCACTTCCAACACATTTAAAATATATGGAATACTGGTTAATACATATTTAAGTTCTTTAGAGATGTTTGAGACTTTCAGAGACACGAATGTGTGATATTTGTGGAATTAAACGAAAATCAATCGATTCACTGTTGTTGGGCCAGCTGTGGCAACCCGATTAAGACTTTTAGACTTTCTTCCTGAGGTAACTGGAGCAAAGGGCTTGCGTATTTTTCATAAGTCAAAAAAATCATTGTTGATCACGAAAGCTATGATAAGTAAATACATAAGAGGCGAATTAGATGTGGGAACAATTCTGGCCCACTTAGCTTTAAACAATTTTTTTTTTACAATTTTTTTGTCAGCTGGAAAGCACAATTGGAATCAGATAACAGAAAAGTTATTGCAGAAGCGCGGTTATGATCACTGATTTGTTTGTTGGATTTCTTTATTTACAAACTGAATGACGTATCTGATATCTTTGAAACCTAAATGAAAGAAGTTAGCATGTTATCATTACATAGTCCATGTCAAGGTTCGTTAAAGTGAAACACACACTTACAGTATACACCTGTATACCACGTCGAAGCAGATACGTTTATCGAGTATAAAATAGTAGCTCCTGTAAAGGTAAGTCAAAAAGACCCTGGGGAATGTACAAAATTTTGGAATAATGATCCATCGAAAAGATAGGTGACAATTCTTTTACCCAGTGATTAAAAGGAAAGAGTAAGGCAAACTGTCTAATAGATGTTGTGGTCCTTACCCTCAGTTGAGCTCTAGTGCTGATTCAAATTCACTATGCTCGCGTTGAGTGGATTATATTCACCTAACTTTCAATTTTTAACGATTACTGTTCAGTACGATCGATGTTAAATCCATCGGTAAATGCAACGTAGCCCAATCTGCATTTCATGGCGCTATGATCTTACCAAAGCATTTTATACCACGATATATTGTGCCCGTATGAGACTGGTTAATTGCGTTTGCACATTGTACCTTCAAAGATACCTTCAGATATCCAAATACAGTGAAAAACAACTTTCGCGTGGTAAGGAAACTGTTGCTGTCTAGCATATTCCACTGAAAATAAATCAAAATTGTCAACGTTGTAATATTCAGACGTCAAATGTATTGACTCAAGTTTTGTCAGCTTTGTTTGTTCGTTAATAAGTAGAGACAACTCTGTGTTTCACTGACAGCCCAAATTCTCAACTGGCGTGAAAAATTGATTCTTTGAGACACCAGGTAATTTCTCCCCTCCCCATCAACTCATGAAAAATGGTAGAAACAGCGTTTAACTTCGGCCTGAGCGAAGAACTTTCAATAGCATTCAATTTTAAGGAAAATTTTGGCTTCAAGTCCCAGCGACCTCAAACACAGGAAGAATTTTTGCCTTTGTTTGAGTAGTAAACATTTCAGTATTTCAGTATTAAAACTTTTGACGATAAAAACTTGCGACAAAACGTTGCTTGATAACATTGTAAAATTTAAAAACGATAAAAAGCTATAGAAAGCTAAAATCGACGACGTTTTGACGTTAACATAACGTCATTATAAAGACAAGAACGTATAAAAATAAGTTCTATAAATACTAAAAACGAACAATAAGAGAAAATAATTTGCGGGTTAGACAAAAATTTTAGCACGTATGGAGTCTGTTTGCACGTTCAGATTAGGTTTGAATTTCTTAATATAAAGCATTTCAAACACTAAACAATCAAATTTGCTTTGACACTTTCTCGGAATCTTAAAATGACTATTAAAATTCACTATGAAAATGACTATTAAAACTTGTCGCTCTTGACTTTCCATTGCAGTTCCAGAATGCTTTCACGGTTAAAATTTTACGTTCACTTAATGCGGTTAACGATCATCGACGGATTATGAAACGTGGAGTAAGTGACATTATGGAAATATTACAAAAAAAAGTAAGTGTAAAAACCAGCCAAAGTCAAACGAATTTATTTTTTTGTTTGCCCTCATCTCATCACGAGTCGGTTGCAAAAAAATTGAACGTCTAATTTTGAAAATAAAAAAAAGAAATGAATAAAAGGGAAGAATGGAAAACAATATTTCGACTTAAAAAAATACAGCTCTGTAATTCGACTAGTGCCTTGCATGCTTGTACACTTGATGAGGTAACCCTTTAACAGACAGATTTCGAATGTTGACGGAAGTTGATCAAGCGCTTCCAACCGAAGGAGTTAACTATAATCTCTTGGCCGATGAAAAAAACCAGAAACATGGAGACGCACCCACGCCAGAACAATTTCTTTACCTGTGAAACCAGATATTTCGTTTTGTTTGTACAGTGACAGTTGATTGATTAAATTAATGATTCTCATATTACCTATATAAAAGGGAGGCGATTACACATTAGAGACAATAAACGAGTTGGAATTACGCCTACGTTTTGGTTTATTATACCAGAAGCGCAAAAGCCATTAGTTAGCATCTGACTTGCTAATTTCGAGTTTTCACACCATAAACAAATGACACTCTTCACCTTCACATGGCGTTGGAACGGTAGATATTAAAAACACCTTAACTTACGTTTCTTTACCAGATGAAACGAATTCATACAAACTGATGGGTTAAAAAAAGTAAATAAATAGATTTTTAGTGACATCCACATGTCGTCCTTCTTGTATCGCTGACGCTCATTTTGTCGATTCAAGTTGTTCTGTAGGCAGTCTCTTATCTTGGAATATCATCACCCCGAACTCACTCACTTCTTAAGACCTTAAAAACGAGAATAATTGCAGTTTCGATATTTTTACCTATTGGAAACTATAAAAGATTATGCTTCTCTAAATTCTATACAGCGACGCTATCGTCTCTGAGTCTATCACAAACTTACTCAGCGGAAACCGGACATATTATTTCGACGCCAAATTCTTGATCAGGCGGTGATACACTTACCTTTCCAAACTAGAAACGTTTATTACTGATCAGTTTGGCGTAGAACAACGAGGTCGTGTCGAACTTACATGAATGCGCTCAATAAACAGGTAGACACATTCTCAGTTGCGAAATTATATATCAAGCTCATTGGTTTGCGCAGCTTTAGAGATATCAATAATTAAGAGTGCTTTGCGTCAGAAAAGGTAGATGTGTTTTTACTTAGCTCTATCTGACGGCGTATTAAAAATTCCCACCCTACATAAACAGAGCACTCATTATTCCTCCATTGTACTGAACTTTGAATAACAAGTAGTGTGCCCACCTGCTACAAAAAAATTACCAAATTGCAGACAAGTACTTTCTCAGTTCATACAGTCGCTGCAGTTAAAATTAGTCATTTCGCACGAAGTTTCTCCTTCCTAGTTGTTGGGAATGAGGTAAAACAGATCGGATTTACTCTATGTCAAGATTTATTCGCTGCCAAAGTTCTACGAGCTACAGTTTACAAAAAACGGTTTTGCAATGGTGCAGCTGATCCTACTGCAGCTTTATGAGGTACAAAATAGGCATGATTATTGGCAAAGATCCTTCCTACGGCCCTCTCGCGGTCCAAAATTTCCTGATCCCTGTTATCATATCTTTCTTTGTGCTAGGCTTCATACCTAAATGAAATTCTAACCATACACCAAGAAAGGAGCTTCGTACAAATTGTCGTGACGATCTGAAGTAACAATACTTTATTTCAGAACAACATGCAAATACATAATTATTAAGAAAAGGAAACCCAGAGGTTGGCCCTATATCAAGGGTCTCCTATTTATGTAAAAAATCTTACAGAACTAGTTAATAAAAATATAAAAAAGTCAAATAAGAAACAGCTAAATATCAATTATAAAATGACGATTCAATAAATATTCATATGTTTCTTCAATTTTGATTTAAACTCACGAACGTTAGGGCTGTCACAAAAATTAAATAAATTAATAGGAAGATTATTCCAGGGTTTGATAATTCTGACAAAGAAAGAATTTTTGTAACAGTTCAGTTTTGCGAGTTTGAGTTGTAGTTTATATGGGTGGTTAGATCTCGATTTAGTGTTTTTACAAAGTTCAAAATAGTCGCTGAAATTCAATCCATTTAGATTGAATACAGTTTTATAACATTCCACTAAGGAAAGGAAATCTCTCCTTTGTACTAAAGAGTTCCATTTAAGAATTTTACACCTCTCCGTATACGCCATCTCTTGTCTTCTTTGGCCTAAGGCAATTCGCGAGGCTCTTCTTTGTATCTTCTCAATTTCATCGATGTCTTTGATGAGGTGTGGTGACCACACCGGGCAGGCGTATTCCAAGATTGGACGAACCAAGGTTTTGTACAAGTTTGAAAAAATATCTTTGTTTTTACCGCCTACTGTGCGTTTAAGTAAGCCAAGAACCTTATTTGCTTTGTGAACTATTTGTTCAACATGTTTTGACCATTTCAGATCACTAGTCATAATAACTCCAAGATCTTTGTAATTAGATACATTCCTCAACACTGTACTCGATATATTGTACCGTGTGGACTTTTTGTCTNGCAAATTGCCCAAAGAGGCCAAGAATATCGCCAAGAAAGCTGTAGTCACGAGAGCACAACCTTCCGCCATAATGTATTCACATGGACTTACTTGCTAGTTCGGCTCTTCAGTACTGATAAAAATTAAAAGTATCATTTCCTTTAATTCTAGTGCGCTTGCATGCTTGTATTGCGTGTTCCAACCACATCCTTATCGAATAGCAGCTTTGGTCTTTTGTTTCCTGTCACGAATCTCTAGTGGTGATTAAAGATTATAATCGGATTATATTCGGTCATATTGATGTCGAACAAGGTAAAGCAGTCAGCGCTAAGGAAATAAGTGTCGTGCACAAGTCATAGATGACGAACAGTGATGAATGTTTGACAGTTTAGGCTTGCGGTCGGATGTACGTATCTAGGGCGTTTATAAATATATAGGGCAATAAAACTAGGAAACCTTGTTACATTAGAGAAGAATGATTAGAACAGTTGTGATGTGCGAAAGTATGACTGCAATAAAGTGAAGAAAGCGACACACACAGTCGTAAGTGTTTGTTGAACCAGCGAGCATGGAGGTATTCCTAACGCAGTGGAAAATTCCCCAAAACCTGACCTTTCGCCTTTCTGTCCCCTTTAATGTATCTTGCATGGCAGAGGTCGCGCCAACCACGCAAGTTACTTTTATGGTGAGGACCCTTAAGTTTGTGATAATGCTTTCAAGACATAAGGTAGTACCCAGAATACATAAAGCAGAATTCATCGTGAATTTAAGTAGGAAGGAAACCAGAAGGCTTTTGACAGCGCCGAAAAATGGCACTGAGATTTTTTTTAGATGTTGTGATAAATTTTACTGTAGTATAGTTTACTTAGTTCTTCTTCCTTAGATGATATAACGGTGAATTCCTGCGCGATTCCGTTTATGTGAAGACTAGAGTGTTTAGACGACGCATGCACTCTGTAGAGATATCGATCTTGTTGAATAGCTCCTTAAGAAACGGAAGGCTAACCTAATTACACCTTAGAAATCAAATTTATCTTTCAATTTTCTCTCTTTAATCTTAGGTTTCTTATTCTGCTCTTGCTGGATCTTGCTTCCCAGTATTTCGAATGAGCCAGATGTTGAAATAATCCCATTGATTTTTAAAGACTTTGAATGTCATATTCGATATAGAAAAAACTGTGAGGTCACTATAGTTAATACCTGTAACTATTGTAAATATTGATTGGAACTTTTCTAAAATTTCAGTTATTTTCAATAGTAAACAGATTGTTAAGTGTTATAATTTGAACGCATTTATTTTACAGAAAAAAATCGCAATAGATGACCGCATTGGAAAATGTACAACAAAACACCAAAACAAAACAATTTCTCGCAAATTCAGGAAACTTCTCTTCTCCTATTGCTAAGTCCTTTTGATTCATAAATTGAAAGCATTTGTCTTTCTTTGAACACAGCCAACATTTTTCAGTGCATGTCAATATACAAATAATAGCAATATGTTATTAAAACTGGTAGGTTTGATGTGTGATTTAGTTAGGCGAGGTCCAATTACTTTTCTTTAACTTACAATACACCAGAAAAAACTTTTCCGAATGACATCCTTTTCCAGCTACTTAGTCTGTTTAGAAAGAGCAAAACGGTCCTAACAGTGGGAGTTCTTTTCAATTACTGCAACTCAAAAAGTCTCCAATAATGCCCCCATCTATTTTTTCCTCCAACCTTTAGTAAACCAAAACTACAAAATATGTCTTTTGTTCCAGCATTGAGCATAATTAGCATGCTTAGAGACCAAAATGATATAAAAAGCATTTACCAATTAAACTGAAATCGTCCCGCTGCGGGTATTGAACGATGAACAGGTAAAAATCGGTTTTCTCCAAGCACGCAGCCAAGGTCATGTAAGACGACTTATTAAAATCGAGTTGGAGATAAACTTTTGCATGTATTGGGTCTGATTCTTATCACTTGTGTCATTCTTGATCATTCTAATCTATAGCATGTAACGTGTTAATTGTATCAAACTAGGCCAATCTTCTTGATTGTTCTAGTAAATTTATGAAACCCTAAATTAGTGAATGATGAAACTGCGGCAAAAAAAAAAACTAATTAACCGTAGCTTGAGGTACTATAAACAAATAAAAGTATTCTGATGAGAGTTGAAAAGTTTACATGGAATGTTTTCAATTGCATTTTACATGCCATCTGCTTCTACCTTCAAAGAGAGGTTTGTCAAAAACACTTCAATATTCCGTTTTATCTCCTCGACCAGGATACTCCAGGGAATGACCATGTCCCACTTGCATGAAACCAATTTTCAAGTGCAAGTGTTTTCCGAAGATGGTGCAGAAGTAATTTCGAACGTCGCTTGGGAAAACGGAACCGGGTTTAAAAAATCCAGTGAAGAAGACCACGAGAACAACAATCAAGAGCAACGCCGCAGAGAGTTGTCTCCCATCTTTCTCCCAGTTTTAAGGTTCATGAAAATAGGCGGGCAGTGCTATGGAGACCTTTCGCTCAATGAATCAGTGCTTCATAGATGCATCTTTTCTCGTGTTTACTGTGCAGCGGTGGTGCTGGGGCAATGGTTTGTAGCTATGCAGGCTGTCACGAGTCTTTTCTGTGAAGGGTTTGCACATCTGACCACATTTTACTTCTTGTTGATCTTGAGCATTTGGTATGTGCAATCCGCAGTGGTAACAACAACATGTCTATTCATTTTTCCCAAAAAGCCGAGAAGACCATCTCGCTTTAGGAAATTTGTCAATAACTTGCTAGCGCAATCATCAAGCTTAAGAATATCAAAGAGGTCTAGATTAGGTTTCCTATTGGTTTTTGCATGTGTCTTTTGTGCCTGTAATGCTGTATGCCTTGGTTTTGTTGACCTATATGCACGTAGTTCGGTGACCCGTTCTTGTCCCTGGAACGGAGTATTTGTATATCGTATAATCCACTATATTTATTGGGCCTTCAACGCCTTTTCGTGGGTTTTCCCATTCTTGTTGTTTTATGTCGCATGTGAGATTTTGGTCAACCTGTTTGCCACTTTAGAAAAGAAAATTTCCGCAGAATGCCAAAATGAATTAAGTATTGCGACTTTGAGAAAGGAACATTTACGACTTTGTGAAACAGTCTCTCTGGCAGACAGAGTCTTCTCCCCAATCCTTTTGACGACAGTTGCCATGGATATTCCTTTGCTATGCATTAATTTTCATCAGGGGGTTAAATCGCACTCTTTAACTAAAGATGACATCACATTTGTGATAAGTGTTCTGTATTGGTGGATTGGCACAGCGACAAAGTTGACTTTAATTATGGTTTGTGGCGTTAGAGTTAACCAGAAGGTAAGATTTAATACTGTTTATTTCAGTTCCACTGTTTCTGATTGTTCTTTGTCTCTCTTAAATATTCTCATAATTTACCTGTTTTTGTTTGAAGTTTCTTAAGATCAGAGTGCCTGTTGTTCTAGAATTGTTCATAGCAGTTCTCTCTGTATCGTCCTCTGTCTCCTGTTCATTGCCTTCTACTGTAACAAAAAGGAATACGATTTGAAATAATTAATATCTTCACCTTAAACCTAATAACATTTTCTGCATTAATCTTTTCCTTGTATAGCTATTAAAGGTCTAGGCAAAGGATGAAGGCATATTCACTATTTACCCCTCCTATGGGTATCGAAGAGTCTAGAGAAGAGGCGGTGACGATACAGTGTTAGATCATTAGTAGTATTTATTATTGTGCATGTGCATATGTTTGGGGCTTACATATATATGCAATCGCAGGTCCTAGTTTAACAGTTTTTCATCTTGCAATCGGTCAGCAAGTTAAAGAACTAAATGTAGTATTTTTAACATATTCTCGTCGTTAGAGACTCTTTTATTTAAAGACTGTGTTGTTATGTCAATATAGATTCATGGCTTTTACAACACTTTGCAATTTTCCAACGTCTCGGAACCCAACGAACATTTCGAGGTACGTTCTTATGTGAATCTATCTCTACAGTCCGTGAAGGGAGCACCCTTGTGTTAAGGATATCACAAAAGCAACCGAGGTAATAGCTGAAAATCAATCTTTCATTTAAAAAGGAACAGGTCATGATAAAACAAGCTGGTAAAACGAAATAACTTTACTGGTGAGACAGGATTGATGCGACAAAATCAGAAAGTAAAATTCCCTATTCTGAAGAAAATGCCACGTGCGTGGGCCTTCTATTCAGAGTTCTTAAACAAAAAATGGGGGGGGGGGGCAAGAGAGAGGGGATGGGGAGCTTAAAGAGCACTTTCGAACGTAAGAGTATACCTTCTAAATGTACTGAATTCTAGATGTGCTTTCTCGTATTTCCATCTTAAATAAATATCAGCTGCTGCATTTTCTGATGCACCTTCGTGGGGACTCAATTGGAATGTCCATAGGGGGTTTGGCAGTGATATCAAAGTCTCTCGCACTATCGGTAAGTGAACTAACGACAACCTATATATACCACGCAAGATAGATTTAAGGATTCTAAATTCTAAACTCTAGATTAAAGCTTCTAAGAGTTGTGAACTCAGTATTTTACCTTTAAATACTAATAAGCTACGATAACAAGAAAAGGATTCCCATTCGGGCAAACACTGTAAATCAGATATTTACATCTCCATCGTATGTTCTTAGTCAAGTGACGTAAGAACCCCAGACATAAGATTTACATCAAGAAATTAAGATTTACATTAATATCATAATGCTTCCGAACTTCGGAAGGATTCGTTAGTAGAAATGCTCATGTCGATTAACTGATTCTCGATACTTAATAGTTTTCCTTTCTTCTTTTTCTTTTTCATTTTTCTACAGCTTGTGGGTGTAATCATCTCATATATTGCCGTGTTAGTTACTCTGCCAAGTTGAAATGATGGGCCAAGGAAAATAAATAGCGCAAGAAGTACAGAAGAATTGTAGTTTCTCAGAGTATTGAGGATAATTCTAATAATTATTTTATTAATTATTACGTAATTATGAAACCAAGCTTCACTAGTTGTTTTAATTTGTTGTCGCTATCAATAGTTGCAAAATCGAGAATCGCGCAAGGAGCCAGATAACGACGCCTTCTTTTCTTATAGACGAAGGGAGAAAATCTACGGAATACAAAGTTATGAAGGAAAGTAAGACAAGTACAGAAACGATTCAGAGCGATAATTGAAACGAAAGTGGAAGAAAATGGTTAAAACAGAGATAAACTCGTGTCATACCAAAAACAAAACTGAAGCAGTATCACATATCGCGATTAAAACTAACCAAAACTAATGAAAACTAACCAAAAAAGTAAAAGTATCTATACAGAATAGATTGACAAAACTGGCATGGTGATTTAAGAGCCAGCATAAACTGTAAATAAATGTGATCTAAACCTACATATGCTGCTCTGTTGGGAAGAACTGAAAGATTGCTCGAAGACGAGGGTAGTCATGAGCCATTTGACCTTTAACTACAGACCTACACTTTGCGTTTCTTTGAAATCAAATCAGATGCGGCAAAATCAGGCTAATTTGCTCGTTAGAATCGGAATCGAAACTAAATTTCCCTTCACTCAAGAAATCAAAAGGTGTGTTTTTAAAGGTATATGAAAGATAAATATCCTTAAAAGATACAGTTTATTTACAATTATGACCAAAGGAAAAGACGCAAAATTAAACAGCATTCAGAAAATGCAGATACAACATTTACAAAAATTATCGGTTCTGGCGCCATATGATCGGCCATCCTAATTTTCCTTTTTTCCACGAAAAAGGAAGCGGAAATGACTCTTTCTACTTCTTTTTAGCCCAGAACCTTCACCATAATTGCTGAATTTGATTTATTAAATAAAAGTGAATTTAGTTGTTTCAAACGGTCATTGTGCCCGAAATGGGACATTTGCTTACTTTTCATGTTTATTGCTTTGTATAAATCGCTAACCATCATTCGATTTGGTATCCTTTAGTGACTTCGTCTACCTCATTCGCGCTAAGAATCCTTTTTTTATTTTCTATTTTCCGCATTTGGTTCCGTTTCATGAAAGCAAAATGGAGTTCATTTAAGATAGCCATGTAGCCGAGCTAGTTGATGTCATATTATCACATTCTACAAGAGATTGCTCTCCGCTTTATACTTTATAGTGATGACTCGAAAGTGTTGGTCACCCAAAGAGTTTTTCATACAATGACTATTGTTATCACTTGCATATTTTTTGCTGCAGTTACTATTGTTATGGTTTATACTAATCTGTATGTATTTTCCGAAACGCAGCACCAAAAGAAACGAATCAACACCTATTAAATATCGCAAGAAGAGGTTAAAAAAATCAAGAAAGACAGGAGGGCAGCAAACGCGGATTCCATTGTCTTGGTTGCGATAATACTAAGTTATTTGTCTTCGATGTTGGGTGCGATTGGTACATTGGTAAGATCGTCATGAAACTCCAAAGGCGATTTCAAAGCAAATAGTGTCATAGTTGTCGTTGTTAGCTGGCGAAGTGGTAGTGTTTTTGGGTTCTCTTTCCAACCGTATCATTTACAGCTGGCGATTTAAGAAGCTACGTCGGGCGTTTTGCGAGATTTTACGTCTTGAACAGACCTAGGTACTAATAATGCAACTTATCTCCCCATTAAATCATCTCACTGAATCGCAAATGTAAACTCCGTTTTTAATCTAATTGTTTGAACGTGTGGAATAAGGAATGTAGCAAGAAACAAAGTTTGTAACCGTTGAAGTAAATCGCATCTGCTTAGGAAAGCTTGTTTATCCAAATGCACTGTACAATAATGGTGGTTTGAAACATCGTTCATGCAAATATAAGCAATGTCAATTATAAGCCGCTTGGAATCGATATAATAGCTGTCTCCAACCCCTAACGTTGTCAAAGTGCCACATATCTTGCGTCGATCATTTTCTAATTTAAATGATTCTGCAGTGAACTAGAACAATTAAGAGCCTAGTGGATTTTCCAGCCTCATAGTGAGTATTTTTTTCTTTTTAAAACATCAACTTTATTCACCCTTATGCTTGAAAAGATTAAGTTACGTTCAAGATACGTTGGAACCTGTTTTGTTTAGCTAAGAGAGGCAGGCTCCAATATGAAAAAGTCGACTAAATTTTAACAGTGAAAGAATAAGCTGAATCTGCTTTTAAATTAAGTGGTAATAACACGATCTCGACCAATAAGTTGCCTTTAAAGATTTCGCTAACTCGAAGAGTTATTGCTTTTCCAATCTAAAAATTTAAATCGACCTTAAAAGATTATAGAACCTACTCTCAAAAGAAATTGATTAGCGCGATTTTCTTTTAACAAACCCAAACTTCAAAATATCTAATTTATTTAATGCAGGTGTTAAATGTGTGACTCAACAGTCAACAATAAGGTGTGCCCTCTTCTCCTTGGCCCCTGAGTGTATCATTGTGGCATTAAGAATTCTTTTTTATTTTTCCGATGCTTGAAATCTTTTTCCAAGGTTGTATTTACTTTGGTATAGACAGCAAAACGGTGAAGTAAGAGATGATCACTCCGGCAATCTAAAAAGAGACAATAAATTGGTGTAAACATGAAAATATATTTAAACCAAAACTATGGAAGGTATTGAAAACTGCGTCCAAATGGACCTACCGTCAGAGACAAGGACTTTCTAATGACCACAAGACCACCGATTGAAATACCCTTTGGATCTCCTTGGAGGTCAAGCATGAAAATCACCAACTAAAAATTGAAAAAACAAAATAATAAAGAAAGCCTAATGAACAATAAATTTCAGTTTTACTCACACAGAAGATATCGACGAACACGGAGATAGAAGTAGAATTCTCCTTTCCTCTTGTTAAGAAAGCTCTCTTGAGTGAGAAATATTGGACCAGGCTATCTGTTCCTGGAGGTCCCACTTAATTATCGTGACCATTCTAGCAAATTATGGATATACGTCGTAACAAATTAAAAAAAAAGTGTATCAGTTCTTTGTCAAACTACGTTTGAAGCTATCATGATTTCGATTTGCATGATGGCCGGACTAAATGGTTTTTCAAGAAGAAAATTATTCATTGTGGTAACTTTCTCGTAAATGGAATATAGAGTTACCTTTCCTTCGTCCTCCTTTGCAATAGGAGTGGTTCTGAAAATCTTTTGAAAACTGTGAATCTGCAACATGAGAGTAAGAAATTGAATTGCATTGCAAAGTGAACTGGTGGATGAGCAAATACAAATTAATGAGATTGATAAACGTTTGTAACTGGTGCTGCGTAGCTATCAGTAAAGATAAGCAAACTTTTCAAGCTAGACCCATCTTTTGTATTTTATTAAAGTTTATTGAGTGCTCAGGTATGTAAGTGAAAGCATGACTGAGATGGAACTGAAAAGATAAAATTCATCAGCCATTGTCAATGTAAATTTAATTGTCACCGTAACCGTCACCATCGTCCTTGCAGTATTTTATAATATCGACATCGTCATCATCATTATCCCTGTCCTTTCCGTTGTTGCTGTCGTCTTAGTTGTTGTTGTTTTTTTTTTTTAACGCGGTTTTTGTTATTCTAATTACTATTCCATCCTTACGCCCAGATTGTTAATATATCTAATTAACTGTTAATTGTTAATATATCTTGTTAACTGAGAAGAAAGTGCTGCCTTTGTAATAATATCTGCATATGGTTAGACCTTCTAGTCTTCTCGAATAGGGACGATAAATGGAGGTCCTGTCTCCTGCAGGGTTGGGATAGGAGACCTTAATTTCCCACACACGAGATAACTGTGTGATGGATGTCCTCCCCGGGGTGGGATGGGTGGGTAAAAATGGGGTTAGGTGTCAATGGCAACGAAAGTTCTGTTCCTTTCTCCTGCCATTCCTTTGGCGAATGAATTAAACTAAACTAAAATAAACTAAACTAAACTACATCATTGTCATTGTAACTGCAGTGATCGTAACCTCACAACACCACGATGATAAAGACGATTTATTCGGTACGAATGATTTTGACGGTATATGGGTTGAAACTTAAAACAATAAATGAATACGAAGTTACAACAATTGACTAGTAAAAGTGACAGGAAAGAAATACACTGAACCACTGAACAAACTCGAAATGACAATACTTACATTGTTACGATTTCTACGAAACTGCTGGACGAAAATAAACTGCCCAAAGGCGAAATAAGGATAAACTGGAGTAACTGCTTATAGCGAACTACTGTATGACTAACGGAAGACTAAACTCTGAAGTGAGAAAAACTAATTTATATATGCGAAAACGAATAGCTAACTTAAAGTGCAATTAACGCCTATATTACCAAAGAAACCAATTAACGAAGATACGTGACATAGAAACAACAGAAGCTAACTAACCATYGGAAAAAAATCTAACGAACGACGAGAAACAGCGACAACACAAGGAGACACCCTAATGATTGATTGAATGAGTAAAATGAAAAAAAAATAACATTCAGCGCGCTAAGACCCTACAGTCATCATCATCATCATCATCATCATCATCATCCTTATACCTTTTCGTTTACTTTGGATCCGAATAGCAAGATAATTGCCATGAGACAAGTTGAAACAATAAGCCAAAACAGATTATTTCCCATCATCAGGGTCTTGTTTTCTGCATTTTCCTGGAGTAGATAAACAATCAAGTACGAATTGAAGCAGATCAAGGGGATGTACAAGCTCACCATTCCAAGGAGAAAAGGCGAAAACATCTCATCGGCCAGTTCCACCACTTCGCACAATTTTTGATGCCCTATCTGGAGAGGCCTTATATCCAGTTTTGCAAAATGCAATAGCTGTTGTGACATTTTCTTGGCCAAGTCATCAAACAGCTCCACAATTATGAGACAGGTATTACAGAAAAAGAGAATTGGAAGCAACCACACACCAACACCAATTACAAGAAAAATTTGGGAGACTATCGCAAAGACGGGTGATTCATTGAAAGGCTTGAAACTGGCAAGATTTATATCCAGTTTGAAATATGTTATCAAGGCACCTACATTGGCACCGAACATCACGGCAAAAAAGACAATTATGCCTTGACGTGACTTACTTTTCGCCTTTTTTAAACTTGCATTACCTTTGATGTGGACCATACTGTGAACAAATCTCCGAAATCGAGAATGTCGTGTGGTTTTCAAACTTGACACCATCAAGAAAATGATTTCACTCAGTGCAACAAGAAGGCACCAAGCGCTAAACAATAATTTAATAAAGATATTCTTGGGGTCTAAAAAACAACCAAGAAGAGCTAAAATGAAATTATACAGCAAACCAGTAGCCACAAGACCACAGTGCAAGAGTGAAAGACATTCCCTCATAAGGAAGCGACCAGAGTTACTTGTGAAAGACTTCTGATTGGTATCGCCATAATATACTCCAAACAACCTCATCAGCTTAAGCACTGGGCTGTATATTTCATCAATTGCTTTAAACAGGTGTTCATTCACACTTTCTGACTCGGTAGATAAACTGGCCGTCTCTGAAACCTCACTCATCGTAGTTACTCGCTCGGAAGTGGAAATCATGTTATCTGGGAGCGTAGGTGTCACTCTAGCAGGCATCATTATCACAAAAGCGATCTAGCCACGAGGACAACTTTTATGATACCACGTTGTTAACGATAGTTCGTTCAGTGTACCCAGCTTTCCTTCAGCTCTGTTATAACCTATGAAGCTAAGGACCTCCCTATTCATATTCATATATGGAATTATTCTCCTGGGGTGTCATAATATTTACCTACTAGTCCATGGGATGTTTGATCATGCAAACAGAATTTTAATTAAGAAAAATCAATTACATTCAAAATTTAAATGGATTAATAGTTGGAAAGTCAAATTTTAATCATGTTTACAAAAAATTGAAGAAGGCATGACAAGGTTCAACTGGGTAGCCTGAGAAATTCTCAGATGATGAACTTCCAAATCTGATTGACCTCAGCAGTGAACAATGGAAACATAGCGTGTTTCCTTTACTACTTTCCTTTGTTTTTATCTTCTTTTGTCAACCTATGATCAGGTTCGGCAGATTTTAGCTGCATACCTCTCTTTTTTTCAATTACATGAAATGCATAGCATATGGCATTATGCACATATGACATACGCGCATATGTATCAGTACTGGTTGAATTTCGAGTGAAGGGATAGTCTTGACGGAAAGCACAGAATTTCAACATTGTTATCAAATATTTGCAACTCTCTTTGTGAAGCATCACGGTCGATAGTTTCCCCTTACATAGGCAGTGGTACCTTTTTAAGATAGACGCTCTTTGCTAGCAGCCCTGATCGAAAAAGGAGTTCAAATCTAGATCTCCTCAAAAAAAGGCAATTTCGAAACCCGCAGTGTTTCAATAAGAGCTCTGCAGGATTCGTGAATGTTGTAGACTGAAGAGAACAAAGTATGCTTGAGAAATTATCCCATGCACTCACACTGGACGTAATGCAAACTAGTCTACCAGTCCGCGATCGACCAGGCGAGCTAAATCTATTTAGTAAAAAAATTCACAAATTAAAATAAAGTATGCAACTCGTGTAAGACATTGCGTGAAATTGTGTATTCGATTTTCAGGTTTTTATAATTTTTTTATTCGATTTTCAGGTTTTTATAATTTGGTAACTTAATTGTAAAACCCCAAGCCAGAAGTGAGAGGGGAAAGCAAAACATTAGTAAAATTTCTTCAACAGAGTTCATCTTCACAGCTGTTTTACATTACCTTTAAGAATGTGAGTTGAACCTAGGCCAAACAGCCATGCCTTGATTAATGCTCGATATAAGCTTAGGTATCTTACAGTTATTTTACTTTTCAATGATAATGTTACATTTGTAGCTCTATAGCAAAAATTCTACGAGCCATAAGTACAGTAGCTTTGTTAAGCGAGATTTTTAGTTATATTGTAATACGTGTCCCTGGCATTTGGACGAAGCAGCGAACAGAATACCAACAAGAGTTTCCAATCAAATCCAGGTGAGTAGGATCACTCTGATTATTTGAGTTATCTAACTTTATCTAACGTTACTTATGTTTTCTTCAGGCGGTTTTTTTTTTGTGCTTCATTTTTCAGAAGGGCAAGTTGAAATCGTCTTTCATAAAATAACATTTCACTGGCTCTATCGACGCCAGCGCTGGATTGTTTTTGTTAGATTCTGTTCCATCCCTTTCTGAAGAGAACTATCTTCAATCCTGATGATTATCTTGGCAACGATAGCAGCACTGTGAAGTAAGAGATGATCAATCCAACAATCTGAAAAGATACATACACCATATTCGATGGTTTGATATAAAATAGTTAATAGAGGGGACCTTTTCCTGTCCCCTCTATTAACTATGGATATAAGAAACATGCACATATTTTTCGAGTTGCGTCGTATTCTTCCTAGCTCCGTATGTGCGAGATGTAAACGGACGCCATATGTTCGAAAAAGCAAGGTGTTATACTAACAGATACATAGACAGTTTGACGATGAAAATCAGGGATTTACCGTTAAGGAGAGTGATTTGGTGATGACCACACAACCTCCGAGGGAAAGACCTTTTGGCTCATCTTGAAGATCCAATACAAATAACAGCAACTAAAAAAAAAAGAAATGATAAAATTATAACTTTTAAAAGGAGATGTCAATACAACAAAGTGGAAAACATTTGAAAGGCAGGGATTAAAAACAATGGAGAAATTATTATTATTTCAGTGGAAAATTGTATCTCAAAACGGAATTTACCTTCCCTTCGTCCTCTTTTGAAACAGGAAAGGTCTGCAAAATCGCTTTGAAACTGTTGATCTGGGAAAGAAACCATAACTGCTTTGAGACAAGACAGCGATTATCTTCAATTTCGACATCAGATCTAAGCGATTCTTTGGAGAGACTTTCGATACCTGTCTTGAATTTAATCTTTTGTTAGGCTCAGACACTTTCAATGCCTGATCTAGTCGATCTTAAGGGTATTAGTGGAATACGCCACTACCCCAGAACGTTTGGCAAGGACAGGTCAAAATGTCAAAATTGATAAAAAGGTGACCCGATGATTTATCCAAACTTAATACCAACTAAACAACTCGGTTAACTGTACAAATTGAATTTAGTGGCTAGCTGCTGAGTTCTGAAAATCATATCTACTCTAAATTAGCCCTATGCCTTACCTTTTCAGAAATGCTGGAGCCAAATGACATAATTATTGATAAAAAAAAATTGAAACCAGTAGCCAGAAGATATTTGACGCCAGAAATTCATATTTGTCCTCACCATGTGGTAAGCTTATTATCTTGAACAAATTAAGAATCATCAATGGGATGTACAGACCAACCATCTCGAGAAGAAGAGGTGAAAGCGCCTTGTCAGCAGATGCGACAACTCCACATAGCTTATGGTGCTCTATCTTGAATGCCTCGAAACCCAGCGAGACGGTAGATGTGCCTGAGGACATTCTCCTATGCAAATCATCAAACAATTCCTTTAGTATTTCGCATGTGATATGATGAAGCAGAACTGGTAAAATCCACAAAGAACTTCCAATAAAGAGAAAAGTTACTGAGAAATTGTTCAGGCCCGGCCAAACATTCCAAGGCTTGTGATATGCTAGTTTCATGTTCAAATGAAAATTAGTCGCGAAGACACCGATTCCAAATGTAATAAAAAGGATCCAAAATGCAACAATTCCTTTTCTTGATTTTTTCTTCAGTTTTTCTAAATCTACTCTGATGTCTAAAGCGCTTAAGTGAAGAACGAAATTTTCAAATCGAGAGTGGCCTGTATCTGAAAAAGATACACATAACACAAAAAGGCAAACCATGCCACTGAGTGCAATTAAAAGGCACCAAACACAAAACATCATGAAGACGAAAGGGTTTTTTCCAAAGAAGATGTCAGTAAAGGCCATCACAAAATTAAACCAGTGACCAGCGAGCACTACAACACAATAGAGCAATGTAAAAATGTTCCTTTTCCTGCCATTCTTCGCTGCACCCGCACTGGACAAATGCGTTAGGGATACATCTCGAAAGTAGCAACCAAACCATTTCATTGCTTTTAGCACGGGGCTGTATATTTCTCCGATTTTTCTGAGGAGCTGTTCGTCAATATCTTTGTACTCCTGGCTTGACGCATCTTCTCTTGAAGTTTGATCATTTATTGGCTGTATTTGAATCAAAGATGGCATTTTGTGATTTCTTTCTTTCCTAAAATCCCGTAAAAAAAAATCTTCCTTCGTAGATCAAGGCAGCTGACAAAAATTCGAAACTTGAACGTAATTACTCCTACTTCGATTTAAATATTAATTGGTTTTTTTCGCTTAATCACTATCACTCCGTACTTTAATATTTACTCTTGGAGATAATAAAGTTAGAGGTCGAAAGAACAATAAAACAATTATTGAGAAAGTAAACTTCCCCCGGGGGCCTGCGAATAAAATATAATAGAAACAAAGAAAAGCAAAATATGTCATAAAAAAGAAAGCAAGGTATTATTCGGGTTGAGTTTCTTTAAACCAGCTGGGGTAATTATTTGAAAATGAGGCAAGATCTCAGTTCATGTTGATGTTATTATAGTTCGGATCCCTTTCTTTGCACTGTTTTTCCCATTTCTCCTCTACATTTGAAGTGGTCTAATTGCATTTTCTAACATTTCAGCCTTGAATTGTAAAACATAAGACCTTTTTTAATGCGGCCTTTAATTGTTATCCTGGCAGCGGTTATGTCTTTGATGTTGATAGTGTTCCAGTTACTTAACTTCTTTTAATAATTAAAAGCGTCACGTATTTTCAAAATTGCTGCGGTTCTATTTTTCTCTCTTAAATGATAAATAGGCAAAATTTTCCTCGTGGCTGCTTTAAAATTTATTATTCTCTTAATTCTACAGACACTAAAATTTTAGCTTTCTGTCGCACAAGTGACCTCTCTATACTTACGGTTGAAAACAGTATGCGTCAAAAAACAGAACAAAACAAAACACACAAAAAAAAGCAAAACATTTCAGCGGTTTGAAAAAAAATACTGACGAAAAATCCCAGCACCAAGCAATGGTTATTCCATGGAAAATAGTGCTCTTGCTCAAATCTTCGAATAGCTCTTGATATTCACTCTTGCATAAATAGAGAAACCTTAGGTTTTTTTAATATTTTCTGCAAGATTGTAATAGTGTTTATATTCCTCATGCCACACGCTGTCTTTTTTTTTTAATTTTCTTGCTAATGAATGATTAATACATGTCAGATGCAAACTGTGTTATGGAGTAAATTATTACTAACAGTTATGATTAACCTGAGCTTGCAAAGTGCTCCTCGCGAGACATTGTCTTCCTGTATTTATATTCGATGTAGTTCTTATATTTACTTCAGAATTAAAATCTACCTTAAAGACAAACAAAGAAATATAAATTTTTAATAATAATTTTTTTTTTTTTAATTCAACTTTCGTTTTTAAATATATTTTTTTCATTTTTCTTTCGTTTTTAAACTACAAAGTATTCCATATGAACCAAACTTGTTTTTCATACTTTTCATAAGTGCGAGAACGGCCATCGATTAGAAATTTGCACCTTTCTTCCAGAAATGCAAACCACCCACACACGAAGGAGTGTTTTTTAACATGCTAGTAGTTCGGTCCTTAATCGCATGTTTATGAATTACATTTATGCAATGAAAACCTGTCATAAATAATTCTTAACCCACTTGAACTTTATGGACATTACTTTGAACATGCACAAAGAGTTTTCTTAAAAAAATCCATAATCTAAGGAATCTGAAGAGTCTTTATGCTGAGGTGAAACGCCTGTTCACAAATACTAGTTGAAACTTACCCAAACCGACTGGTTAGGTAAGAAAATTGATATGAAATCAAAAGATTTGGTGATCACTGACTAACTTGTTCGCCAGTAATGACGAGGCTCTTACTCTTTAACTAGACGTTTCGATTAATTTGTCGTTGAAACTTACCCAAACATTGGAGTACCGACTGGTTAGGTAAGAAAATTGATAAGAAATCAAGAGATTTGGTGATCACCAACTTGTTCGCTAGTAATGACGAAGTTCTTAGTATTTAACTAGACGTTTCGATTCATTTGTCGTTAACATAGAACGATCAATTAAAAATGTGGGTCCCTAAAAGGTAAAAGGGAATCAGATATTGTTACTGGCCAAAGCACGCGTCACAATTGATGTACATCTTTTTTTGCCATTTCTATATGGGTAAACATTTTTTTAGATTATGTTTTAACAAAATCTATATTTAACTCGAAAAGATATCAAGAAGCGAAGGGTGCAAATATAAATTGATTATTATAAAATTAAAAACAAGCTGTTTCATTATGGGAGAAAAAAAGAACACATCCTATATTTAAAATTACGCAATAGATTTAGAAATTAAATTCTGTTTCTCAGGGTGTACTTTTACAGCTCCCAATCCGAGTAAGTAATTGATGTTAACGCGGCAAAGACAACATTACAGCAAAGTAAGAGACAGTGACTCCAACAATCTGAAAATAAAAAGAACATACCAGCGTTAAATCGAAGAAAAAACTAAGTGTTACGTGTTGCTAAAACTTATAAAGTCGTAGGGGAAACTAAGGCCGTTGGGCTCTCAGACTGGGGAGCTTAACGTGAGGTATATCGAGGGCTATTAATACAAATTAAAGTCTTTCAAAATTCTTATTGATATTTTCTCTTGCTTTGAAATGATAAAATCGTTATTTTTTTCTTTTCCCTTACTTTCTCAGAAATGACATTGCTATTAGACAAAATTTTTAATTGAAAAAATGAAATTGGGCATGATTAATCAAATTCTTACCGTCAATGATGTTGACTTTGTAATAACAACCAAGCCTCCGATAGATAAACCTTTTGGCTCTCCATAAAGGTCAAATAAAAGCATCAACACCTGAAATAGATTATGCACAAACTGGTAGGTAATTGAAGAGGTTACGAAAAACAAGACAAAAAAAGATTAACCAGAAATAACGATCTCCTGATGTAGCATCAAGATAAAGAAGAAGGGAAAAATCACCTTTCCTTCTTCTGATGCCGAGATGGGTAGTGTTTGCAAAGTCTTTTGAAAAGTGTGAATCTGAAAAAGAAAATCCAAAATTTATCAAGAGAGCAAAAGTGTGAGGTGACTCAGTCCCCAACTAACCAATGATCTGTGAGAGAGGCTTACCTTTTCGCTCACTTTGGATCCAAAGAAGAGAGCAATTGCCAAGATAGTCGTTGCAACAAGACACCAGTTAAGATTCATGACAAGGGTTAATGGATCCGTGCCTTCTATTAGGATAAAGGTGTTGTAGAAACTGATACACAATAGTGGAATGAAAATGGCTATGATTCCAAAGAGGGTTGGAGCGAGCATCTTGTCAGCAAGCTCCACTACTTCAGATAATTTATGATATTCCATCTTTAAAGACAGAAAGTCTATAGGTAGCGGAGGTAATGATGACATTCTCTGATAAAAGTCATCAAAACATTTTACTAAGATTATACAAGTGAGACAGAAGAAAAATGTCGAAAGCAACCACACTGCACAGCCAGTTAACGAAGAAAAGAAAGCAAATACTCTAAAACCAGACCATGTACTCCAAGGCTCACAACAAGAGATACTGATACCCAATATTTCACTACAAACAAACGTGAAAAAAATGGTAAACAAAGATAAAAAGCAGGTTATGAAAAGGGCTTTTCTTGACTCTTTCTTCACAAAATTTAAGTTGGTTGATTTTACGTTTGTGAGCAAACAGCGAAGAAACCTTTCAAATCGGGATTTTTTTGTTCTAGTTAACGGCAGAAGAACTAGCGACGTGATCCCACAGATTAACATTAAAAGGTGGCCTACGGCATACATAAGAAATGTGTAAGCTAATCCTGAATTAAAAATCACAGAAGCAGACGTGACGACATTAAAACAGATAAAAGACATCATCAAACCACAATACATCCGCGAAAAGATATGCTTTCCAGTTGGCATGTTTTCCAATTGTCTCAAGTTTGTCTGTCCGTAATAAGATCCGAAAATCTTCATTAGCCTCAGCACCGGACTGTACATGTCGTTCAATGCCTTCAAAATCTGCTCGTTGTCACTTGCCTCCTCGGGTAACGGAACAACTAACGAAGTTGTGCTTTTTGAACGAGAATGAACTTGCTTGGAGGCCTCATTGAGGGGCAGCTCTTGGGAAGCCATGGTTTTGTAACTGAAGAGCCTTTACAGATGAGTTTCCTTCGGTCTGTTACTGGCTACGATTTGAGACAGTCATTCTAATGACTTCGAAATTATTTCAGGGCATCTAAATGTTTTACATTACAAAAGAATTTTTTTTGCTAATCCCTATGTCTCTAGATGACTTTGTTTGCATAGTGGGACTAAGTTAAATCTGTACAATAATAAACACCATAGAGGGACAAATTACTTTGCCTCGTTCCTGTATTGTAAATGAAATTTAAAAGTTGCTCAGAATGAGCAAGCTCTCCCCATTTTGATATTGAGCTTTTGAAATCTTCTCCGCTTTTGGTTGGCTTTCATTTTTCTAAAGAGAGTGCATAATGAAAAATTCAGGTGAATTGGATGTCTCCGTTAACCTTTGAGGAAAATCCATTCTAGATCCCACCAATGCAGAACTGATGCAATTTTGATCAAGTTTCTTTTTATCTCTTGTTTTCGTTCTGATTTTATGGCTATTTATTTGGGAAAGTACATCCTTTGTTAATTTTTCTTTTCTACTGAAATTCAAATGAATGGATTAATAGTGTTGCTGAGCATTGAATTCTTATTTACAGGATGATAACTTTTATGTCACGATTGAATTATATTTGCAGAATTTTAAAGAAAATTACATGGAAATGCTTAACAACTAGAAACATTATTTTTGCTGAGACAAATAAAAGTAAGTGATATGCCTTATCAGTGTGGAACTGTTAGAATGCCCCACTCATGTACTCCTGAATTGAAAATGCTGAGTAATGAAGAACTTTTAAAAGCACAGGAGAATCTTACAAATAATTTTGACCTCTAGTACAGTTGCTCCAGTAATTATGGATTGCGTCATATCTCGCTATAGTCACCTCGCAAGAGCGCTGCATTTCAAAATGGCTGTTTCGAAGAAGTGATGAATGCAATAAAATAAAATTCAGTTTTGAAGAGCACATGCTAGAAGCCCCTAAGTTTGGAGTACCATCTTTCAAAAGGTAGATATGGAGCTTTTCGCTGATTGAATTTAACGAAGCCATCAAATTTAGTGGAAACTAGAGGTGATCAAAACAATTGAAACACCAAAACGAATATTTACAACACAATTCGAAAGCCCCAAAGCAATTACATACAAACAATTATTATGGGACCGAGGCTGGATGATAAAAAGAAAAGAAAAAACAAACAAACAAAAAAAAACACCAGTACTTTGGAAACTTGTGAAAAAGAAGTGAAACTAAACGATAAATCTCCCCTTAATCTTTGCTTTCCTCTTAATTTTCATTGCATCTCTGTACGAATATTAAAGCAGGGAGCGAGAACAGTAAGATGTTATGTTAGGAGATAAACTAATTATGAGCAAATTCATCTTGAGCAAGGTTTAAATATAGTATGTACTAGTTATTTTTGTTTAAAGCCTGTCAAGGTCAATTCAAATTTTAACATCTCAGAACTGAAGCAAAAAAAAAAAAAAAAGCGCAGAAACAAATATTCTTTCATATTACCGGGAATTGATATCCTTGTGCGGTTCGTCTTTGACGTTAATTTTGTTTAAGTGCGATTATTTCGAAGTTTTAATAATTTAGAGCAAAAAGTAATGACATTTACAACTTGTCCTCAAAGTATACTTCTCTCCACTGACTCACACGCAAATTATGTGGTTACTCAATACTTTGCTAAATTTCCAAATCTAGAAACTATATTTTTATCGTTTATAATTATCATTATTTTTTTTTGGTTAATGTTTATTGTAATTATTCTTCTAATTTTTTTAAAACCGTGAGAGTAAGTAACATCTTTGTGGTTTAAAAAAATACGCTAACAAAAAAAAAAATTCAAGTGCTCAACACTTTTCATTCAAAGAGTATAGCAACAAATATTTCGCGTTGAAACCTTGGAATCAGTTTATAATGTTTATTTTTGTACAGAAAAGAGGCCCTTTTTAATATTTAATATGATATTATATTATTTCCTACATTGCTCTTGCGTCATGCTGGCAATCTACCTCCTTTCCTGGGAGGAATTACAAAAACACGTCCACTTGGAACGGAAAAATGATCGACGAAGAAGGGAAGAAATCAAATAATATAAGTTTTTCAGACTCCTAACAAATCAGTCGACGTCTTTCTTTACCTTGTCAATGCTCAATACAATTTCTTTTGCATTCAACGATTTTTAATGAGCTAAAAGCTATTTTCGCTTTGCAATACAAGCTGTTCATTAAATAGTTCAATACATGATGCGCATATTTCCTTTTAAATAACGAATTATTTACAGTTTCAGTTCTTTTGCTGAGGATGCATTTTCACAGCCCCCCATCCGGGAAAGTAGCCAGTCTTAACGCGGCAAAGACAACATTACAGCAAAGTAGGAGACAGTCACCCCAACAATCTGAAAAAAGTGTAGAAGAAACATAAATCCTGTTGACATTAAAGAAAACAAAATGCAGATCAATTTAAAATATTTCATTTATGTATTCTCCTTCGTGAAAAAATGGTCTAGCGTTTTATGGACATTATCATCACTTACATCTTTTGAGGATAATCAAAATGTGCATGACTAGTTAGATCCTCACCGTCAAGGACATTGACTTAGTAATGACAACCAGTCCCCCGACAGATAAACCTTTTGGCTCTCCTTGAAGGTCTAGTAAGAACATCAACATTCCAACCTGGAAGAGATTACATGCAAATGGATGGGTAATTTAAGAAATTACGTAAGGAAAGGACTCTGGAAAGTCCACCAGTACTATTTCTTACAGTTTCCTGATACAACATCGACATTATTGATATGCATGGTTTGTATAGAGGTCACCTTGCCTTCCTCTGATCTGGATACGGGTAATCTCGGCAAAATCCTTTGAAAACTGTGAATCTGAAAAAGAAGAAACCAAAAGTGTTAAAACGCTTAAAGGAAGAATTTTGAGGTAACTCAGATTTCCTAGTGTGGTCTCGGATTCTCTTTGAATGACAGATGAAATGCTGACAACTTAAATTCCCGGTAATATACCTTTTCGCTCACTTTGGATGCAGAATATAGGACTAGCAACAAAAATGTTGCTGCAATCAGACACCAACACGAGGTGATGGCTAAGGTTATTGAATCTGTGCCCTCTGTTAGAATAAAGGTGTTGTAATAGCTGATACACAATAGCGGCATGTAAATGGATATGATTCCAAGGAGAAATGGTGACAGCATCTTGTCTGCAAGCTCGACTACCTCCGATAACTTGTGATGTTCCATCTTTAAAGACAGGAAATCTTCAGAAAGGGGAGGTAAAGATGACATTCTCTTGTAAAGCCCATCATAACATTCCTCCAGAATGAGACAAGTAACATAGAAGAAAAGAACCGTAAGCAACCACCCTACAGACCCAGTAAATAAAGAAATCAGTGCAAATACTCTAAAACCAAACCACCAATTCCAAGGTCCACAACAAGCAATAGTAAGGCCTAATATTTGATCACAAACACAACAGAAAGCGATGTTAGTCAAGAATACTAAACAAGATACGAAGAAGGTTTTTCTTGACTTTTTCTTAACCCCATTTAAATTAATGAATTTAACATTAGCAAGTAGGCTGCGAATAAATTTTTCAAATCGAGATTTCCTTTTTAGAGTTAAAGGGAGAACAATTACTGACGTTATCCCACAGATTCCTATCAAAACCTGGCCTAAGGCAAACATCAGAAACATGTAAGCTGAGCCTGAAAGAAAAATCCCAAAGAAAGCCATTACGACATTCAACCAAATGAGAGACACCATCAAGCCGCAGTATATCTTCGAAAAGATATGCTTTCCAGCTGCCATGTGTTCCAACTGCTTCAAGTCTGTGTGTCCGTAATAGGATCCAAATAGCTTCATCAGCTTCAGAACTGGGCTGTATATTTCGTTCAATGTCTTTAACATTCTTTTGTTACCATTTGTGGCCTCGTGTATTGGAACAACGAAAGAAGTGGAGCTCTTTGAACGAGATTGAAAGGGTGCGGAAACCCCATTCACAGGCAACGCTTTGGAAGACATGATTTTGCCACTAAAATATGTTTTCCCTTCGTTCTGTATTTATGTTGTAAGCCATTGTTATTCTAATGACTTCAAAATTAGTTTTGTGTTTCTTTAATTTTCCCTTGCTTAATTTTGGTAGTATTTGTTTTCTAGGAAATGATTACAACTTCATTGGGTTGATTATCCTCACGTTTCTATATGACTTAATAGTAATGATAATAATATCGATAATAATAATGAGAATGAGTTATTCACAGCATATCCATATGAAAATAAAACGCAGCTCTTTATCTATGAAGGCCCTACAAAAGTATATATAGATATATAGTTAGATATAGCTCTTTGGCATACAAAGCTTTGCTTTCATGTCCAAATTGAGCACTCTATCTAAGATGAGTCATTGCTGTTGCAATTGCGCATGCTCGCTAGTTTACTCTAGTTTGCACACTCTGGCATGGCTTAGACGATACCACAAAGGTTGGGTCGTTTGGGGTGACCGTCTCGGTTCTCCCCCATCCTAGCATTAGCACTGCACTGATGAGGCCCAGAAGGCCGAAACAGTACTGTCTGCAGTTAGATATAGCTCTTTGGCATACAAAGCTTTGCTTTCATGTCCAAATTGAGCACTCTATCTAAGATGAGTCATTGCTGTTGCAATTGCGCATGCTCGCTAGTTTACTCTAGTTTGCACACTCTGGCATGGCTTAGACGATACCACAAAGGTTGGGTCGTTTGGGGTGACCGTCTCGGTTCTCCCCCATCCTAGCATTAGCACTGCACTGATGAGGCCCAGAAGGCCGAAACAGTACTGTCTGCAGTTAGATATAGCTCTTTGGCATACAAAGCTTTGCTTTCATGTCCAAATTGAGCACTCTATCTAGGATGAGTCATTGCCGTTGCAATTGCGCATGCTCGCTGGTTTACTCTAGTTTGAGCACTCTGGCATGGCTTAGACGATACCACAAAGGTTGGGTCGTTTGGGGTGACCGTCTCGGTTCTCCCCCATCCTAGCATTAGCACTGCACTGATGAGGCCCAGAAGGCCGAAACAGTACTGTCTGCAGTTAGATATAGCTCTTTGGCATACAAAGCTTTGCTTTCATGTCCAAATTGAGCACTCTATCTAGGATGAGTCATTGCCGTTGCAATTGCGCATGCTCGCTGGTTTACTCTAGTTTGAGCACTCTGGCATGGCTTAGACGATACCACAAAGGTTGGGTCGTTTGGGGTGACCGTCTCGGTTCTCCCCCATCCTAGCATTAGCACTGCACTGATGAGGCCCAGAAGGCCGAAACAGTACTGTCTGCAGTTAGATATAGCTCTTTGGCATACAAAGCTTTGCTTTCATGTCCAAATTGAGCACTCTATCTAGGATGAGTCATTGCCGTTGCAATTGCGCATGCTCGCTGGTTTACTCTAGTTTGAGCACTCTGGCATGGCTTAGACGATACCACAAAGGTTGGGTCGTTTGGGGTGACCGTCTCGGTTCTCCCCCATCCTAGCATTAGCACTGCACTGATGAGGCCCAGAAGGCCGAAACAGTACTGTCTGCAGTTAGATATAGCTCTTTGGCATACAAAGCTTTGCTTTCATGTCCAAATTGAGCACTCTATCTAGGATGAGTCATTGCCGTTGCAATTGCGCATGCTCGCTGGTTTACTCTAGTTTGAGCACTCTGGCATGGCTTAGACGATACCACAAAGGTTGGGTCGTTTGGGGTGACCGTCTCGGTTCTCCCCCATCCTAGCATTAGCACTGCACTGATGAGGCCCAGAAGGCCGAAACAGTACTGTCTGCAGTTAGTTATATATATATATATATATAT